TCCAAATTTCTCTTCCTGTAGCCAAGATGATGCAGCTGTGGGGCACAACTATGAACTTGAATCATCATGCTCCTTTTCATTTTGTTAATCTAGCTGCCAATAAGTGTTATACATATTATCATCACATCAATATTCTGTGTATTATGTCAAAAACTTGAATTTTAGCTAGTGGCTTTGACTTTCCATCTTACTTAGTCCCCAAATTTCTCTAGCCTGTACAGAAATCTCTCTTCCCTAAGTATCTGCTATGTTTTTGGTGTCCCCCTCCTGCCCCAGAAGTTCCTATAACTCCCTATTGCACTATCACAATGTCCAAGGTCCTCCACCTGGCCTCCAGAGCTTATAAACTCAGTGTCTAACTTAGTTTTTTGTTTGTTTACTTCCCAGGATGGAGCTGCTGGTTTAGATACGCATGTCACTGTGTCTCACAGAAATGGTTGCTGCCACATCAATGCCTGTCTGCTATAGGAAAACGGCTGTGCAACTGTTTATAAAGTCTTCTACGACGTAGTCCCCTCTTCTCCTTCTTTAAATTCTCATTACCATAGTAATCGCTGTTGCACCATTTGGAATATAGTCACTCTAATTAATTCACTCTTTTAACTACTTAATTTTCCTAAACAGACGAGGTTTCCAGGGACAGACACCATGTATTACATTTTCTCTGTGTTTTCAAAAATGCCTGGCAAAGACGTAGCTGTTCCATAAACACATGTTAATTAGCATTTCGTTTACTGTGTTTAATTTATTATAATGTTTGTTGTGATCTAATGTATAGCTATACATTTTTCATAACTGTCTCCAATAAGAATACAATATAGGTCCTTATATACACTACATAGTTTCATATGAATTATAAAAATTGTAAGCTCATGCTTGAAGGCACCTTGCATCTTCCCAAGATTTATTTTTTGTTTTTTTTTGCGTATAAGGTATATAATGATCAGACCTATTAAGTGATCTGTCAAACAAACACAAAGTTATAAAGCTAGCTGGTGGCCCCACCAAGCCAAATAAGAGCTGCTGGTGTTAAGAAAGATGAGAATTCAAGGGATTAAACATGATAACACCGTCTGTTAAGACAGGTGTATGTATTTTTCCAATGTCTACAGAGAGTACGTAATACCACCATTTATTTTTTATTATAAGGAAAAAAACCTTGCTTTGCCAGAGTTAGAAGTACTTTAGCAGAAATGAATTCATTTAATTTCACTAACTTCTTGGAAAGGAATTTGGAGAACATATTAACTGTATGTTATAAATTAAGATACGGTCCAGAGAGAGTTGATGCAAAAGGGCTCATGACCATTCACCAAAATTGGTGGTAAAAACTCTAATACCCTCATGGGACATCCACGTCTGTCCATGGGACAACATGATGGATTTATAAATACAGTCTGGTATAAAATCATTGTTGGATTTTAAAAATCACATAAACATATTCCACTAAAACTGTCCAGAAGAACAGACACACAAGAATGAGGGGGAAAGCAGAGGGACATTTGGACAGTGTCACGCTCCTGCTGACTCATTCCTTTCAGCCCTGTGACGACTACACAGGGCATAGAGGGTAAAAGAGGAAATGTTTCTTTTCTCATCTTTATGTAATCTGGAATAATAACTATGCTTTTCCTCAGGATAAATGTTTAATTAGAAGAGAGGGAAGAGAAATATAAGAGATGGTAACTACCACGGAAATTCCCACTCGGTCCCCAGGGGGAAGTCCACATAACCGGTAAACCTCTCCTTAGAGAAGTGTTTGACTGTTTCATGGTTGACCCACTGGGGGCGCCCTGTGCTAAATGGAGAGACAAAAGAGATTTGTTGTCACGTCTTCAGCTTCAAATCCCATGAGAACAGCGTGGATTAGGCGACCAAAGAGACTACTTGGAAACGTGCATGCTTGTGGTGTCTCTGAGTCATGTCTTCAGTTAGGAATAAAGCTGATTTTGAATGATGTAACTCATGCTTCAGCAATGTTTTGCTCTAGACAGATGGACCATATGGAAACTATGAACTGGCTTCGAGTGCAGGGCCGTGAGGAGCCAAAGCAACATTTTCATGTTTTCTGCTTCTATTCAAGTGGTCTAGTGAACAATACATGATCCTCAGATGTGCCTTTGTTCCAATTCTGAGTTGTGATTATTTTGAATGCTACAAATGCTTTTAATACAGGAATTATTTTTTTAAGCACACTTTTATTTCACAAAAAAAGGTCTGACATATTTTGGGCGTTAAAAATATTCCAATTCTTTCTCTAAGGTACTGGCTTGCTTTGATGCATCAATAAACACATGGTCTAAAAATTTGATCTGGGGGGTGCTTATCAAAATCATAAATATCAAAGTTTTTCCCCAATAAGATCCAATAATAAGCTTAATGAGCCTTAACACTTTTCTGAAAGATCCTAAGTACAAAAAACAAAAATAAAAGATGCCCAAAAGAACTAGAAGGCAACGGAACCCACTAGACCATGACCTTGGGGACAGTACAGAGCATTCCTTTACAGTTTGCTGCTTTAGTAGTCATTAGAGAAATAACAAACATTTAACGATAAGATTTTAAAAACTATAGCAACTATTCTTTTCTCTGGATTGGGCTTCAAATTTAATGAAAAGCTGTGTGGGTGAAAAAAAATCGCAGTTGTTGGCACAATACCAAGATGGAACAAATGAACAACACTTCTGTGATTGCATGTTTTGTGTAGGATGTAGGAGGCCTGCAGAAGGGCTGAAATTAATATGTGGAAAATGGCTGTGCTGGTTCCTTAGAGGTATTTGGAAACTATCATATGTACTCGCTCAGCTTGTAAATCTTTGTGAAGGCTATGATGAAAAATGATCATGTTTCATTATTATAATTAAAATATAGTGGTCTCAGATGTTTTTCTAGAGAAGTAAAAATATGAGACAGAGATAGTATGGGGACTTTGTTTAAAAAGGAGAAGAATTTATAAGGAACCATAATTTCCATGTTTTTCAAAGAGATTTATTAAAATATAATTGGACTGTATGCCTCAGATTAGGACAAAATAACAAGATTTCCCCAAATAATAAATGAAACTCATATTTTATAGATTATAAGTCTCAGCTTCTGGTACGTTCTATTTTGATCTGAGAAAACCTTGCAGAAAACTATAAAAATTGGTTCATGTTGCTTCACCATGATAAATATAGGGATGCCATGTATGTGTTGTAGTGACAACAAATTATCAGAACCAAAGAATAAAAGTGACCAATTTTAATTCTTTGCTTTAAGTATACAGATTTGAATACACAGGTGGTCAAAAAGTGAGTCTCCAAGATTGATATTAAAACAATAAATATTGATAGCCATGTGGAATGATTTAAACCTGAAAGAAATAATTTGCTTCTACATACCCTTTCATTTTTATTTTGCTTTACATTTTTTAAAACACTTTTATCTATTAATTTTATTGTGGCTTATAATTATTCCCCTCCCTCTACCAAAGAGATGTGTAGTAATTGAAGCGCTCTTGTGATTCCTAGGTTTTTATTCACTCCAACAGACTATGTTGACTTTTATGTGTTGTCTGATTGACAAAATCAGCTACACCACCACCAATCCTTGTCTTCTCTTGGGATTGCTTCTCCTCTTTTAAAAGAAAAGCTTTTGAAGCCACAAGCAGTTTTGGGAGATACATGTTCATGAAGTCCCTGAGTACTCTACAGGTGGCCCTGTCTTGAACACAGGGGGCAGCGAAACATTTCTTACAAAATGGCATTTTGTTTGTGTGTTATGGTTTTTAGAAGTGTCTTTTAAGGTGTACTTTATTACTCACAAACAATTAAGGTTTGGTTGTTTTCTTGGGAACTGACACAGAAATATTTGTATACCATTTACATGATGCAAAATGGAAATGGCTTTCTTAGTTCCTGTACTTTTTTTCATTTTGCTTATTGCTTTATTAGCTCTCTAACAAACTTGCCCTTCTTTGTCAACATTTGAGTCACAAGCTAATATTCTAAAGCAGACGACGATTTTTAGGATGGCATGATTTTTTCTCATGTAGGACAAGCAGTGCTACTCTAGAACAGTGGGACACAGCTCTCGGTAGACTGCAAAATAAATGTGTATTTTTAATCATTTAAGTGAGACATTAAATAACTTTTACCACATCAAATTATATGAGTCCCCATACCACAAACAGCCTAAATATCAAGAGTAGAATTAAAATCCATGAGACAGTAAACACATGCTTTTTAATGAGACCTACTAATTTCAACTACAGGGTTCAATTATTTAATGTACAGATAATATTATTCTGCCTGTTGAGAAAGAATAAGTGTGATACTTATGAATGGTGTATCAACCCCTTCAGGTCATAGGACAGAGTGCCATTCTAAATATATCTACAAACAATGGCAGTGCATAAGAGGATGTTCTGCCTTCTATACACAATGATGCCGCACCCACTAAACCCATTTCCAAACACCTGCCATTTGCTTTTTTGATAATCTGCGAGATCAACCTAAACTTCATTTTAAAAAATAGTTATGAAACAACAAGTTAATGTCAAGTGCAACCATGCTGTCTGTAAAGAACCTTCTGTACTTTTCTATCTCTTAGCCCATTTGTTTTGCAGGTGATCACTGGGGTGAAAAGGAACGTTATCTTAGAGCTTTATCCACACATTGGGTGGAGAAGTAGAAATCAATAGAGACCTCTCTCCATGCTATTTGCACATCTCTTCTAGATAACAATGATCAAAACCACAAGCAAAGCAACTTTATAAATACAAATGCGAAAAAGGAACAGAATTATAAAAAGCAAAAAAAAACCAAACCCAATTCTGAATATAACCGAGATGACACATGGTGTGAACTTTTTGCAAATGGAAAAACACTCTACAAATAAAAAGCGTTATTCAACAGGATGCAATGAAATTGGAAAAGAAAGCAACACCACATCATGAGACACGGAATCATCTGAAAGAAGCAGTTATGGACATGAGCCACACAGAGGGTTTCTGTTCTTACTTGCACAAGTATCTTGAGGGGTTTGAAAGGTCCTTCACCATGAAGCACTCGCCTCCATTCACACAGAACGTTTTCTCCTTCTCTGCACATTTTACAAGATGACTTGTCCCAGTTGTAGATGTCGATGTAGCTGGATGGGAGATAAAGAAGGGCAAAGGTTTAGATCTTTCTGCTTCTGCGCAGACGTTGATCTTCAATTCTCTTAGGAGAGATAGTTCACAGAAGGTATGACAGTCTCCACTAAACTTTCAGGCTAAACAACAGCAACAAAGTTATTTCTGGGTGTAATTAAGCAGAATAAAATTATAAAAAGGTAAGTACAATTAATTGAATTACGATAATAGGAATATCGGTTCAACATTTTTTATAACCAGTATTTTATCTTCCGTGGAAGGAGAAAAAGAGAAGATCTATTGTCATTAAGTAAAACACATTTTCTAGGAAGGCTCGATGATAATGATATAAAGTCATGTCGGTGTAACTCACTTTAGATATCAATGTTTAATAGCAACTAATTGATAAAATTATTTATTTTGGAAAGTATGTCTTCTATGTATATTGACCGTATTTTTTAGACATAATATATTGCAAGAAATACAAGATGGCTCATTTGTACCTAATGAAAAATTATATATTAACTGAATATATATGTTATCATATAACTCAGGGGCCATTCTTTCCAAAATGTCCATTATATTCTAAATTTTACTCAGAAGAACATTTTTGAAATATCCAATTGCCATTGTACTTTTGAGAAAATGGAAAGACAGTCTAATATTGCTGAAAATGACAAAATGGGTGGGTATTGTGATATTCATTGTGAATCAAGAGTAGAAATTAATCTTAGTTTTGGTTCCTAACAGGAAGAAAGCTTCCTTCATGTAATAAGCATGATACTCACTCATCCAACTCCATAGTTATCTGAAAATGAAGCCTCCACCAGGAGGTGCAGCGACTGAATGAAGCCCAAGCTCTCAGTCCTGAGGCTCTAAGGGCATTTCCTATCAGAACTTCTGCTCTTATCACTGGGAACATCATAGGTGATGCTCAGTTTCAGCCAAAAGTAGCTTAATTCACATTATGTTCATCACTTACATTATCAGGGCAAAACACAAAACCAGATGTCAAGCCAATGGGCACTACTCTTTTAGAAAAAAATATCCATCTCTAGACAAGTTCTTTTTTCTTGTCTACTGATCATTCCTTATGATTTTTAATCCTTGTCTTCCTTATTTTTATTTTGTATTTACATATGATATTCAGATGCCCATTTTGTATTTGTATATGATATTCAGATGCCCATTTTCTTGAACCGTTCATGTATTATTTTCCCATTTTCTTTTGCCTTTCTTGTGCATTCCCTTCACTAGTCCACATTTTCTTTTGACTTTTAACCCAATTTCTCCTCTAACTCTGCTTGATTTTTACTCGATAGAAACACTCAACATCTAATTATTCAGTTTCTGAATCACTCAAGACCTTTCTTGCCTCTTCCAATCAGGCATGTTTTTGGACCATTTCACTGTTCTCAGCATGGCTTTCAGGAGTAACAGCAAAGGACGGTCAAAATGACTTGCGCTGTGGAGATAGATCTGGCTCATATCCCGCCTCCTACTAGCTTTGTGTCTTTGAGCAAGTCACTTAACCCACCCAGGTGCTCAATTTTCCCATTTAGGATAATAGCACACTTACAGGGTCTTTGTAGAGATTAGAAATAATCTATACAAAAGAATTGGCACAAAACTGGCACTCAGTGAATAAGAGCAGGTATTATTACTGGGCAAATAGGGCCAGTATTCACTAATCAAATAAAAGCTCGATCATGGAAATTGGGGGATTTCAAAGATGCATACTATTCTTGAGTTATTAGTGTGGATAATTAAGAAATCATTCAACTTGACTTGAGGTGGTGAACACACAAGATAATACACAGATGATGTATGATAGAATTGTACACCCGAAATCTATAATTTTTATCAACCAATGTCACCCCAATAAATAATAAAAATTAAAATTAAGAAAATAAATGGCTCATTTTTATTATTACTGTAACAAAAAGTCCTTTTCAAGATGCATTTCAAGGTATCCTTCACTGTTCTAGAAACCAAACAAAAGGCACCAGGGAGAGTGTGGAGAGAGGTGATATTACCCCCATTATTGGCTGTATTTTACCACCTCTAGCAGGAAGAGGGGAGTGTAATTAGCAACATTTCGTCTGTAAAATTATAGACAACATTTCCATATATCATATAACATAACAGTTAAGATGCCATTTCTATACGTCACAAAACTGTTAACTTTGGTTCTGGCTGTTAGTATTTTCGTCCATGACAATTGCTTTTAAAACATATTAGGAGGGAGTTTGCCTTCAGTGTTAAAGTTTTTGTGCTTAAGACTTGCGACTGCTGACAGGGTTCTGTGGGATGACAAATTGGGCAGGGTATCCTTGCCGCCCCAGGTGACAGTGCAGAATGGACCACCTGTGGCGTGCTGTCACCACTCAGGTCCCTGCAGAGGAGCTAGGAGCCCCAAGCGCACCCCAGTGGTCTCTGAGTCCCTGACAGGCTGCTGAGGATCACCCCTCACCCAAGCTGCACAGCCAACACTGCATCAGGCTCTTTCAGAACAAATCCCAAGGCTTTTGCTTAATATAACAAAACCAACATCCTCCCCAAAGCAGCCACTCCATATAAACTGTAAGCTAACAATAAGGATTAGCAGTAATATAAGCAAGAGACAAATGCATCATACCTATTCCTTGGATTTTCGGATCTTGTGTTATCACATAAGCAAGATTAATAAATGTGTTAAAACTAGAAGTAATTCCTGGTTTTTAGTTCTTTAAAAATATTTCCCCCTAAAATAATTATCCTGCAGCTCCAAGTTATGACACACTCATTTGAACAATTCTGAGGTCATCACTTGAAACTAGAAATGGGCTCTTTGATGGTAAAATAATTCTTGGACACAATGAAACAGGAACAATCTCCTATGGTCATGGACTATTGTGCTTGGTCCTTTTATCTGTTAGCAGGAGTGAGAACAAAAAAATGATCACAGAATAGTAAAGCAGCAACAAACTCCCTTGTGGTGTAAAGGGTGACTGACTGGGTACAGTTGTTCTCAACCAACAAACACAGAAATCAGCCGTAGTTGTCAGAAGAACCTGGATGGGGACGGTGAATGTGCACCCGTCAGATCTGTGCCAGGTTTCTTTTATTCTTCTTAGCTGACCGCAATACACACTTAATCCTGAACAGGCCTATTGGTTTTGCCGTGATATCTTTCCTCTTTGGCTTACACACCCTGTATTGTGAAGTCGCCGTGCATGTGGTAATTCTGCCAGAAATTCATGAAACGGACAAAGCTTCTTAAACCTAACTGCAGAAGCACCACTCTTCCTGGGAGCTCTAGGAGGAGTTTATTAGAGGTGAAGCTAAAGGGTTTTGCAGACAGAATGTGCCTCAGTATATAAAAGATGACCCTCATAGCTGTTCTTGGAAGTAGATGGAGTAGATCTCACTCATCTTCCTGTACTTAACAAAGCCTGCCTCCCTCACTTTGTGACTAGTTTGTCCTAATCTGGGAGTCTGTCACCTTCTAGTAAGAGCTAAATGAACAGCAATTAGGAACACTGCAAAATATGATTTCGTTCCTCTTATGTTTGCCACTTATATGTTTATAGGTTATAAGGAAGAAAGTGTAAATACAGCAATTACTTGTTATCAGAGAATGTACTTCGGGGTGTTTCATTCTTGACTTAGTCTCTCTTGGCAATTTAGGTCAGGACTAAGGCTCTGGAGACTAAGATCACCATTTCTGGACCCCTAAAATTCCTCACCACACAGAAGGGGCCCCTTCTTTCTTTCCAGCCTGCCTGCTTTCCTTCCTTCCTGCTCCCTCCACCCCGCCTTCCACAATCCTTTAGTAATTGCCTATGCAAGGCATAATAACAACTAGAATTATTGGGGTGAAAAACTGTAAGACTGTGAACAATTCTTTCTAAAAGGAGACCTTTATAGATAAAATGTAGTGAAATGAACCTCAGAGTTAGCCGAGGAGAATCAGGGCCAAGGCGCTGTATTAGCAAGTATTTCTTGTGTGACTTCTGTCCCACTAACCGGCCTCGGTGATTTCAGCTGTAAGAATGAGCTATCACAGGGTTGTTGTGAAGTGTGATAAAATACTTTATCAACACTGCACACAGATGTATAATGCTGTTACTATTACTAATGGTGTAAATATGGAACAAAGAGAAGCAAAAGCATTTCTGTGCAGGCTCTGGAATTGTACATAATCAAGCCTCAAATGTTGTTTCTTAGTAAGTTATTATTCTATAAGTATGAAGAGAGATCATCTAATTTAGAAGGTTAACCACTGAATGGTTATACAACAGTAAGTAAGTATCCATAATCTGCTCTATTTTAACTTTATCACAATTGCTTGTTGATAATTTATAACCACTAAAATTGTCTATAAAATAAATTGAAGAAGAATGTGTGTTATAAGAAAAAACCATCCTAAATGTGTATTATTTTCAACTTTCGAAGCCCACACAATTCCTTAATATTCCTCACCAAACTACCCAGTTACATGAATTAAGTTACTTATAACACTGTGTGTCATTTTAACAGTTTAAAAGCTCTTAAAATATTTTTTAAATGCGACATCCACAAAATATTTTTACACTGTGGAAATCATACACCTCTGCACACTTTAAAGATAGATGAAATAAAAATTTGAGGAGTTAATGAAGTGTTCTCTGTTTTATTGCTAAATATTTTCCCAAGGAACCACACAATATTTCCTGTAGAATGCCAGGCTTTTTCTGCTTAGGGAAGGCTTAAAAAAAAACAAAACAAAACAACTCGCTGGAAAGGATGGCTTACTTCCCTGCTGGTTTTAAGTGGTGTTTTCTTTATCAGCAGAGTAGACAGCAGCAACAGACCAGGGCCCTACACAAATGCAAATTGCTGATAAGAAGTCACTCTATTCTTCTTTGACAATTAGCAGGAATTAGCAGGAATTAACACGAATGTACGGTGTTCAACCCCAGGAGCAATCGTTAGATATAGTCTTCCCTGAGTGAATGAATCTGTGCTAGCAGTTTTTAAGACAACTCTTAATGAT